AAAAATATAGGGTTTTTTGATATTTCAGATATGTCATTTTCTTACCATATCTGAAATACCAGCTACTGTCCAAACTCCAAACTTAAGTGTGTTTGTGCTTTTGCTAATTGTGGACGGTTAGCAAAAGATTGCAGTGATGGATGCTAGGGAGTAAATAAAAATACTCTTAAATGTTTGACCCCCTCTTTCTCTGCTCAAATAAAAGGACAGTGAAATATTTAACTTTATTACGTTATTCAAAATTTAAATTCATTGAAAGATTTTAAATTTCATTCATACATTGTAAAGTTCAAAAGTTATGATCACGCAAAATTTTTAACCGCTTCATTTTGAGTGAATTTTTGCTCTGTTTGTAATAGTCTTAATAAAAAAAATGTTTAAAAGTTATACTCATATTTGTAATTGTCTTAATAAAAAAAATGTTTAAAAGTTTTCTGTTTGACATAATTTTATAATTAGTTTTCCACTTGACTTTTTCATATATTTTTCAGTAATATCTGAGTTACCCTTGTAAGTGATACCCTTATCACAAGATGTGGTAGATCCTAAATTGTTTATAAATTACATTAATTATTTTTATGACAATCTTACAAGTAAAGTGAATGAATTTGAAAAAGTCTTTCTTTCACAGCTACAATTGATTGATTTTAACATAATTCTTAAGTTAAAACTTTTAAACATCAGAATAATTTTAGTTATTTCTGTTTTTTTATAATCTTACCATTCTTCTCTTCCATTCTTCTCTTCCTTTCTTCTCTTCCATTCATAATATATTGTGATCAGGATAGAACTACCTGATTAAGCTAAACTCGAACATTTATCAAATTGCTGTAAATTATTATTCTTTTTTATTTACAAGTAGTTACAACACATAATTAAATAAATTTTTTTACATTAGTTTCTGATCAAGTAAGTTAAGAACTATTCTTTAAGTTACATTTCACAGTTGTTCTTTTACATTCAAAAAACTTTTTTAATTTCTTTTTTATCTTTTTTTAATTTTCTGTTGTTTTTTTTTTATTTTTAGTTTTCTAGTTTAATTCATATTCTCAGTTTGTTAGTAACCTGGCTTTATAGTAGCTGCCTACAGTCATGTTGAGAGTAAATTTGTATTAACAAGTTATATAAATGTTTAGTGATCATTGTTGATAATCTCAAATATACTATACTACTCAAGTGTAATACTGTACAAAATTTTTGTTTAAAATTATTTTTTAGCTATAGACTTAAAATTCTTTTTTAAATAACTCAGTGAACTGTAAAAATTGATTAAGACCCATTGTTTCTAGTTCTGAAAACATTAATTTGTGTTTTGTAATTTCCAAAAAACAATACAATTACAAAACTCTTAAATTATTGGTTCAATTATAGAAATATCTGAAGAGTCTTATAGAAAAGAGAATGAAATCTGGAGTATGAATATGGCAAGCACAATTAGGAGAAACAGCCTAAACAAAAGCTAACTTGGCAATAAATTGAATATATAGCTTCCACCTGAGGCTTCCATATGAGGCTTCCGTCTGAAGCTTCCACCTGAGGCTTCCACATTAGGCTTCCGCCTGAAGCTTCCACCTGAGGCTTCCACCTGAGGCTTCCACATTAGGCTTCCGCCTGAAGCTTCCACCTGAGGCTTCCACATGAGGCTTCCACCTGAAGCTTCCACCTGAGGTCAGTAGTTTAATTTGAGTAAACTTAAAATAACATGTTAAAGTGTTGCTGTTCATCAACAACACTGTTCATCAACAACACTGTTCCTCAACAACGCTGTTCATCAACAACACTCTTCATCAACAACGCTGTTCATCAACAACACTGTTCATCAACAACACTCTTCATCAACAACGCTGTTCCTCAACAACACTGATCATCAACAACGCTGTTCATCAACAACGCTGTTCCTCAACAACACTGATCATCAACAACACTGTTCATCAACAGCACTGTTCATTAACAACACTGTTCATCAACAACACTGTTCATTAACAACAATGTTCATCAACAACACTGTTCATTAACAACAATTTTCATTAACAAACACTGTTCATCAACAACACTGTTCATTAACAACACTGTTCATCAACAACACTGTTCATTAACAACAATGTTCATCAACAACACTGTTCATTAACAACAATTTTCATCAACAACACTGTTCATTAACAACAATGTTCATCAACAACACTGTTCATCAACAACACTGTTCATCAACAACACTGTTCATCAACAATAACAACATATAAACTGTTAGTGGATGAAGGAATATTTACAGTAAAAATATGCAGTTTAGGTTAATGCCAAACCATACAAACTTGAATTTTGGATGGCGGAATAACTGATGATAGGTCACTTAGGCAGTTACCATAGGAATATCTTTAGTAAATAAAAAAAAAAGCAACCATATAAGAACTTGGATAAATATTAATGGATGAATGGCTCAAACTTGGATGTTCAGATCAAAAAGTGATTATCAGCAAAAAAACTATAAAAATTTTAGAAATGTTATAAAAGTTTTTAAAAATTGGAATATAAAAATTAGAATAAAAGAAAATTTAGTGTTTTTGTACAACTGTGACAAAAATGTTTTCAGGATCACATGCTATTAAGGAGTTTTTTGAAATAACTTTAACATTAGAAGCAGGAGTGTTTTTGGTTGCTTACTGCAAGAAAGAGATCAGTGCAAGGTCCATCACAAAAAAAATCAGAAAAAAATTCCATTCACTTTTGATATTGGAGTAGGAAATGCAATTGTCTTTAATTCTATGAAAGTTTGTCACTAATTTACATCATAGATGTAAAAGTATTTTTTTTTTTTTTTAGTTATTCACCTCCTCAAGGCCGAGAAGGTCACTACAGACAAGGAGGCTACTTAATAGTGGTCTCTCCCTCTCAACTCTATAACTCCGAAGCATGAACCTTGACAAACAAGGCCGCTGCATGGAGAAGCAAGTTGAGCGCGGTACTACCAGGGACGTGGTGGGGATCGAACTCGGAACCTCTCGCTTATGAAGCGAGTACTTTACCACTACACCACTACCGCATTTACTTCATAAATTTCTTTCAATGGTGTAAAAGTACTACAATCTTAAAAATACTCTTTTAAAAATTTGGAAAAAACTTTTAGCAAGAGTAATTAAAATCAACAATTGAAATATTTCACGATAATTACACTTGAAGCTATAATATTAATATGTTAATATATTATATTTCATTTTTAATGACTATTACTTTTAGTTAAAGTTCCGTCAGGACTTCAACAACATCATTTACAGTGTACTCAGTCAAAAATCTATTCGAAATCAAAGTTGTTAGGTGGAACAAATGCTGGGAAATACACACACATTGGAAAAGAAAAAATGCACACCTGCAATCGACGTTGTTGCGAATCACAAGATTGTGATTTAGCGTAGGTGTTTAAAACAAAACAAAAAAAAATTTTAATTTTCATTTATACCAAAAAAAATTTTTTTTTTTTTCGAGTTTAAAAAATTATTTTAATTATCTTAATTTGCATGTTTATCAAAAAAAAATTTGCATATCTTTAATTTGTATTAGCTATGTATTTGGAAAAGATTGTTTTCTTGTTAAATGCTTTAATGAGGAGGGATGCAGAGTTGTACCAGATGAAGATTCTATAAATGATAAAGATTCATCGGCTCTTGAAAAACAAGTACAATACATAATAAAAAGACAATTTGGAGTTCATCTAAATGAAGGTACAATTTTAAAGTAATGTTGGTAATACTTTCATATTAATAATTATTTTTTATTTATTTGTAAAAAAATGTACAAAATACAAAATGGAGAGTAATCTTATGTAACAAAAAAATAGTAATAAAAAAAACTTAAAGTAATTGTGATGAAACCAATTGATTGTACAATGACATTTTAAATACTTTATTTGCTTTGAATGCAGACAGTGAGAGCAAATTCACTGTAAGTGAACCTGAAGTAAGGGGTCTGTAAGTGAACCTGAAGTAAGGGGTCTGGAAGTGAAACTGAAGTAAGGGGTCTGGAAGTGAGCTCCATACTTTAATGATTACTTGGTTGTAAAAAAATTTTTCATTAATGTTTTTATTATGTAACTTTTGTGAATGACTGCCATAATGTTTTGAGTTGGAAAAAGTAAAAAAATCTGAAAAAGGTAACTTGCTTATCAACAAGATTATGTGCAATTTTAAAATTTATCTTTAAAATTTGACTTTGCAATAAGATCAAATTTAACTGTTAGATATTCAAGAGATTCAAGTGGGAAGACAGTTAATCTTAATTACTAATCAGTAGTAGGCAGGCATTTCTGAGTTGGAAGTTTCTCTGGCAATATCCTTGGAAGCCAAGTCGATAAACTTGTTGTGCCTGAAATTCATAATAAAACTAGGAACAATAAGTATTTTAATAAAATTAGAATTTCTTTACTAAAAACAAGAAAATTGTATCGATTTCACAAGTGTGGTTTCCTTTTTTCCCTTCTATTTAAAAAAAATTAAAGCTTCAATAAAAACCTCTTTTTGGTTACTCTATCTTCTCCATTTCTCGATCGTCACCTGAATTGCTGTTGGCACCTCTTATCAGTCATGTTTTCAACTTTTATTGCCCTTTTCCAAACAGAGACAAAATAATGTTGTAATTCTAACAAGTGATAACTAAAAAATAAGAATAATTTTAACCCTTTGTATAAATTAAACCGCAAAAGTCAAAAAAAGAAAAGTACTCCTATGTGAAACATTACTATCTCCGTTTACAAACTTATCGTATGTTTTGTTTTGTATCAGCTAGTTCAGTTGTGTTTAAAGTGCTGTCAAAACAAGATGTACTACAAAATCATTTTAAAACCAAAAATGTTCCTACTTCAACTATTTACCATATTTTGGCATCCATAACAAGCCCTTCGTAAAAGTGGTAGTGGAAGACCAACTAAAATAAAGAACAAGAAGGGACTTCGTTTACTTCATGGTGCTTTCAACAACAACGATTTAATAAGTCAATGAGATGCTGCAGAAAAGTTCAAGTGTACGCAGTCTTTTATCTGCAAATTGTTGAAAAAACAAGGAATAGTCTGCAGAAAAAAAACAAGAGAAACGGAATATGCTTAGCAACAAGTATCAACCGTGAAATCTCAATGCGGCTGGATGACCCAAAATTACTCTGGAAAATGTTTTGTTTTGAATGACAAAAGTTACTTCCCCCTCTTCAAAATGCAAGTTCCAGGAAATGATCAATATTATGCAGATAAAAGTTCTACAATATCAACAAAAATAAAATACAAATATAAACACAAGTTTGAACAGAAAGTGATGCTGTACATTCCCATAGGGAATATAAAAAGAGGGAAATTTCCAAGCCATTGTTTAAACCAAGTGGTTTAGCTATTAATCAAGAAGTATACCAAAACCAATGTTTGAAGAAAATATTGATTCCATTTTTTCAAAAATATCATTCAAATGGCAATTAATTGATTTGTCCAGATAAAGCACCACTGCATTATGCCAAAAAACACAAGTCTTCTTGGAAAGCCAAAACATCCCATATGTACCCAAAATCGCAATCCGACAAACTTGCCTCAGTGTCACCTAATTGAAGATTTCTTTGGATATTTGAGTTCGTTAGTATACAAAAACATATGGATAGCTTAGAATTGCAAACAATTGATTACCTGGATCAAAATATGCATTCTCCAAATTGATATAAATGCTGCACAATCTTCTTGTCGAACATCATGACAACATCATGTCGAACATCATGACAACATCATGTCGAACATCATGACAACATCATGTCGAACTGCAAATGATGGACCATATTCGAATATTCATTAATTTTTTTTAAAAATGAGTAATGTTTTTTATTATAGCCAAATATGAAAATTCTCTTTTTTCTTCGAGCTATCACCCATTACTATGCATGAATAATAAGCAGGTGTTATTTGATGGTTTTGTTTTAGCTTCATTACATTTAACTTGCACTTAATTGTTTAATAACCATTCACCTTTTTATTTTATGACCTCAATGTAATGTAAAGAACTTTTCAGTATATTAAATAATAAAAAATTTTATATGTATAAGTTAATTTTTGACCGTAAAAATTTATGGTCGTTTTGTCCATGCGTCATTTTGAAATGGTGTCTGGAAAAGAAAGTTGTCCTAATTTAAATTTTGAGGTATTTTTTTCTTGTAAATTAAACAAATCACTAAATGTTTCAGCTTTATAAAAATATTTCTCACAAACAGTGGTGTTTTGAGTTATATAACAAGTAAAAAAATGCAAGATCCTTTATTACTGTATATGAGATATTTTATGACTGGTATGAACTGTACTTTATAAGTACTTATAACCATTAATGATAGAGTGTATATGACCTTAGATGAGGCTAAATTGCGTTTATCTCAAGTAAATTAAACTAATTACTGAAAATTATATGAAATCTTCCTAGTTCACCATTTTATCTTTTATAAGGGGAGACCAGGGCATATTGCGTTTATCTCAAGGAAATTAAACTAAATACTGAAAATTACATGAAATCTTCCTAGTTCACCATTTTTATCTTTTATAAGGGGAGACCAGGGCATATTGCGTTTATCTCAAGTAAATTAAACTAAATACTGAAAATTACATGAAATCTTTCTAGTTCACCATTTTATCTTTTATCTGAATTTTATCTGAAAAATAAATGAAATCTTTCTAGTTCACCATTTTATCTTTCATTGTAGCATTGCAAGGATGTGCTTTTTGAACGAAAACATTTGAACATTGAAACGTCGCTTTTTTTCGTCGTATGAAACTTTTGTTGAGTTTCCATTTACAATTGGTTTACTATTTCCAGTTTTTTTTTTTAATAGTTGGCGCTTTTCAAGATCTATAGGCTGTTTATCGAAAAAATAGTTTTTGTGGTAAGTTAAAATTTTGACGGGGCTAATTGGCTCATAAGTATTTACTAAAAAAAAAGAAGTTATGAATTTCATTTTTTTATTTTAAATTTGTAACAGGAAGAAGAAAATTTATTACGAAAAAAAGTTTTCATTTCTTAAAACTATTTATTTAGGGAATTTTTTTACCTAGGTTAAAAGTGACCTCTTTTTGCTTACTATGGAAACTATTATTCGTTACTATCTTAAAATAATATAAAATTTCAGGACTTAAATTATACAAATAGTAGGTTAAGTTTTGCTTTAAATAATACTTTAATATTTTAATGATTTGAGCCAACTTAAACTGAGGTGTAGTAAATAATTTTTTTAAGCCTCGGAAGAGTTCCTTCATAATAGGTTTTTTAAGCCTCGGAAGAGCTCCATTATAATAGATTTTTTAAGCTTCGGAAGAGCTTCTGCATAATAGGTTTTTTAAACCTCGGAAGAGCTAATTCATAATAGGTTTTTTAAGCCTCGGAAACGCTCCTTCTAGTGTTGCGAAGGTAAAATTTACCCGAAAATTTACCGGTAAATTTTCCGGTAATTTGAAAATTTAATGCCTCATAAATTTTGAATTTTTTGTCACCTTTGGGGTCATCCATGATGTACGTACGCCAAAAAATTTGAAATTTGAAATTTTTTGGCGTACGTAAAAAAAAAAATTTGAAATTTCATTCCTCCCCCTGTTGACATGCGTACTTCTAAGTCCTTTCCCCCTTAAAAAGTACGTACGTTATTGAAATACCTCCTCGCCAAACTTTTTTTTTTCGATGAAAAAGTTTTGAAAAAAAAAAATTAGGATATTTGAGTTAAAAATTATTCAAAAAAATTTCTTTTTATGAATAATTTTTGTTTTGTTTTAAGGGGAAGGGGATGAAGGGGGTGGGGAAAGAGAGAAGTAATTTAGGAGCCTGGATTAAAATTTTGCTGGGAGGCTTATTTTTAGTCGCTACGCTACTGCCCATAAGCTCTTTTTTTGTGTCACAGTATCCCAATTTAAAAAACGTCTATAAAACAAATATATTCGCTAATAATAACTTTAATAAAGTTAAATTACACCTTATCAATGTGTTCGCTCGGCTGAATGGTTAATGCTGCGGACTGCGGCTGCGGCGACCGGTGTTCGATTACCGTTCGATTCATATTGTACTTATGTTTTTGTTTTAATGACGAATTAAATAAAAATAAACTATACTTTAGGCGGACGTTTTTTTCAGGCTTCCCTCTTTAGTAAGTCTGTAAAAAACGAGACTTACGCGTGATCAGTAATATCGAAAACAGAACCTAAAACCCAGTGCCGAGGATAGGCAACCCGTACCCTTATTTATTGGGAATAGGGCAGAAAGTTTTTTCCCCTTTTGCTAATTCAAGGAGCTTTTTATTTTAGCAAAACGTAACGGTAAAATTTGGGAGATTTGAGACCCAAATGACAAGTTATTTTGGGGGGACTCCGACATATTAGCTACGGCACAGTTAGAACCTGTTTTTTTTTTCGAAATAGGTTGCCTGAAATGCGTCTTACTCAAGGCCATTGTATAAGGGGTGGCATGTGTGCATAGGATTTTTTGATGTTTCAGATTGCCCCCGGTACAAACGTAAGGGCACTAATGGAGTAAATTTTCATTTTTACTTTTTAAAACTAAATTTAAACTTATCGACAGATTTTAAATTTTGTAGAAAAATGTTGTAAATTACAAAAATTATGACCATGTAAAATTTAAACCCCCTCTTTTTTATATGGTAGGGGGGGAAGGGGTGTTTTAAGGCTTTTTGCTCCCAGGCCTCCGCCTTTTTTATTTTTTGCAAGGTCTCCTCATTTGACATAGGTATAAACATACATAAATTTGAAGTTTGCGCAATGTGTGAAAGAGTCCTATCTGGAACATCAAAAATTCTGCGGGCCCCTATGCATGTGTGTGCATTGAGGGAAACTATGGTCTCTATTTCCTGACCAAACATCTTTTTATGTTGGCAAACCAGGATCTTTAGTCAGAATTATTACTTTTCTATTGATTACCTGGTTAACTGTGATAAATTAGACAAATCGATGAACATTGAAATACTTCCCCCTCCCCCCTACACGCTTTCGTACGCTTTTTGAAGACCTCCCTTCTTCCCCCAATGAGCGTACGTACTTTATACTCCCTTTCCCCCACCCCCTTATACGCTTTCGTACGCTGTTTGAAGACCTTCCCTCTCCTCCCTATGAGCATACGTACTTTATGGACAACCATTTATTTTTATTTTTTTTGAAAAAAAAAAATATATATATAAATGGTTGTCCTTTATGGACAACCATTTATTTTTATTTTATTTTTTTTAATATTTTTGTAAGGAAAATTTACCCTCTTCTATTTAAAATTTACCGGTAAATTTTACCGGTTAATTTCGAATCAAATTTTACCGGAAAATTTACATCACTAGCTTCTTCACAATAGATTTTTTAAACCTCGGCAGAGCTTCTTTATAATAGGTTTTTGAAGCCTCGGAAGAACTCCTTCATAATAGGTTTTTTAGGCCTCGGAAGAGCTCTCTCGTAATAGGTTTTTTAGGCCTCGGAAGAGCTCTTTCGTAATAGGTTTTTTAAACCTCGGAAGAGCTCCTTTATAATAGATTTTTTAAGCCTCGGAAGAACTCCTTCTTAATAGGTTTTACAAGCCTCAAAAGAACTCCTTCGTAGAAGGTTTTTTAAGCCTCGGAAGAACTCCTTCGTAATAGGTTTTTTAAAGAATAATCTTAATTTGCCAAACGTGATTTCATAGTGGTTACACGAAAAACAAATAAAATGGTATTTGAAAAACTAAAATGATTATTATATTTGTTTTTTAAGACGGGGATATCATTGAGAAAAAAGATGAATGCAGCCTTGACGGTGAAATTCGCAATGGAACAGTTTTGGAGAAGGGTATGCTAGCTGGAAATCTAAAGACTCAGCATGGAGTTAATAATATGACTAACTGTATTGACAGATGCTGTAAAGAGAAAAAATGTCACGTTGCATTAATGCTTGGTAAAAATTGCTATTCGATGGAATGCATGGATGCTAACGCTTGTAAGTCTAAAACAGCACCTGAAAAAATGAAAAATGAAAATCCTGTTATTGCTTATGTAAAAAGGGGAGAAAACACCATGGGTAAATTTTTGTTACAATTTCATTTTGAACTTTGTATTGTATCAATATCTTTCATAATGTATTTTGGCTTTGTTTTAGCTCCTCACAAATGATTTCACAATGGTAAAACGGAGATTTTACATATACACATGTACATACACATACATACATACCATACATACATACATACATACATACATACATACATACATACATACATACATACATACATACATACATACATACATACATACATACATACATACATACATACATACATACATACATACATACATACATTCATACGCAGGTATATATATTTATATATATAGCAGTTGTTTATATTATGTAATTGTTTAAATTATGTTATTATTTTTTTACGCGCTATTGATTATAATTCAGTTGATTATTTGTCAGATGTATTATACAATCTTGTATTTTTGTAACATTTAAATGAATGGTAAATATTATAAATGTAATTATACATATACCCGTCTAGTTGTTTGGCAAATCTCCCATTGTTTTAAAAATCTAGTTTTTGCATATTCATAAAGCAAACTATCTGCTTTATTTCTATTACGAATAAGTGTAATTAATGCAGACGAGCTGCTTCGTGTAACTTTATTTTCTTTTATTTTCGGAATTTCATTTACATAAGTATGGTTAAAAAAAATTGGCAATCGCAACCTTGCGACTTGTATAAACAAGTTGATATTTTCAAGTGTTCCAACTACAGCGTAATGGTGCTCTATGTTATACTTTGCTGTTTGAAGCGCTTTAAAGGAGCCTGTTTTGCAGTAATGACTTGGTCCGCAAAAAAATCTTGTCATTACATTATCTTCGCAACCTCGATGTTGATTTTGTATACAGTCAAACAAAGATTCGTTGAATTCTCCTGACTGTTTGAGCTCTAATATTCGGAATTCTCTTCTTAATTTTTCGTTTCTCATATAGTAATAATGCGATAAGACTCTATCCACAGGGTTTCTAACTAAATTTATATAAGTGTATTCTTTGTTTATGCGTAGCGATTTTCTAAAGAAAAAATGGGCAACAAATGCTGTAAAATTAAAGCTATCCAACATTTTCCATTCGATTACTTGTGGATATGGAAACGAATCTCCAGTGTTGTACCAATCTTCAGTTGTAAACTTGTATAGAGTAAACCAATGATCGCTTGACATTCGTGTCAGCAAGTCTTCTATTGTTGAACTGCCTGTTTTAAAAATTCTATTATACAACAATATTTTTGGTTGGATTTCATCACAAGTGATGTTAGCAAAAAAAATGTTTTTTCCAAATGTTTCGTTTAGTCTTGGCAATAATTTAGGATCATAAGTAAAATTGAGTTTTAACATTTTATTTAATTTTTCGCTATTACTTGTGGAAATATGCTTGTTATAGAAGTCTATAAATCGACTATATCGTGGCAACGGTAAGAAGATTTCTAAGAATACATTTAAATAACGTGCAGCAGACAAAAGAACCACAATCAGAAAAATACACCTGATCTTTGCCATCTTTGTATTAACTCTTTCTATCTGAAAACAAAAAAATTTCAATTAAAATTTGATTCAAACGTATTACCTGAATCTCTACACTAAGGGTTAGGGGGCATATATAACTTTACATTTGTAATTATAATATAAACTGACATAAAAAAGGTTAGGTGTCTCGTATAGTTAAAAACTAGTCAATGAAGTCACATCTAAAAATTAAAAAAAAAGAAAAGAAAAGAAAGCACTAATAAATATAGATAATTTTAATAATTGCAATATAAATAATAATAATAATAATACGAATAAAAAAACATTACAAATAATAACTTTAATAAAAATTATTGCTAATAATTAAAACTATGGTAAAAATAATTATTGTAAAGTTTATAACTATTGTCACTTTCGGTCTTTCTGACTATTTCTTAAAGTATTTATCAGACATAATACTTGCGCCATCATATGCCTGTCCATACCAATTGCTTATATCAATTTTATATTTTTTCAATAGATCTAAATGACATTTATCAAGGATTCTTCTTCGTGGCTTTCGCAGAAAATAAGAATATATAACATATTTTGTTATTATGTAAATATAACATATTTACATAATAACAAAACATGAGAAGAAAGTTATTCTTTGTGAGAATTGAACATTTTAAATATTTTGAGACATTTAAGTTAGTTTATTACAAAAGATTTTAGACGAATAATAAAGATTTCTTTTACCTTTATTCACATTTTTTGTGAACGTGCTTCTTCAAAATTGAATCAAATTGAGCCGTTAGTTGTTACATGCTCAGATAAGTTATTAATTACTATCACTTGATAATCATATGACCTCAAAAGTGCCACAAAAGCATATTCCAGCTGAAAAGTAAAAAAACTGACCACAACCACAACAATTAATTTTGTATCAAATTCAGCTTACCATAAAATCATTAACATGTTTTAACATGTTAATGAGTTTTTTTAACTATTTTATTAACATGTTAACGAGTTTTTTTTTATTGTTTGTGAATATATTTATTAAATATCTTTTTTGCTGCTTTTGTGGTTAAAAATAATTTTATCTAATAACAAAATTATTTTAATTAATATTTTTTCCAATTGGAAAATTTTTGACAAAAAGAATAATCATTTTTATTTATTTATTTGAATTTCATGCTATATTTTGGTACACAATGCTCTTATAAACAAAGATATTGTTGGCTTAGCATACGAACAGCCACAAACAGTCATAAAAAAATAAATAAAGTAGCGTCCGTTATTGATCAGTATTTTTGCCTACAGACGTACTACTCAAGCGAGTAGTACGTCTCATGACCTACTACTCAAGAGTTCAATTTCAACTGGTTTTGTAAAACAGTCCAGGTTATACCATTTTGTTAGGTGCTCTTACCAACTGAGCTATCCACTCATATATAAGATTATAAAAAAAAATTCACAAATTTGTTGTTGTGATTGATAGGAAACGATTCGCAAACGTTTTAAGTTACACAATTTTAATTTTTGAAAGCATTTAGCAAAGAAAAAATTCTTCTTCTTTTTGATTTCTAATAGCGAAGATTTGAAGTTAGAGATATTTTTTCGATTAAAAAAAATTGGTAAAATGCATAATACTTTTATATTCATGTCATTTTATAACATTTCATGTGGACATAACACAGAGTCAGATGCATTGTGGCCGTGGATATCGCATTGTTGCCGTGGAGATGATTCTCGCAAAATCTAGAGGAAAAAAAATTTAAAACTTTAGTATCAAAAACATAAGCTTGAAAAAAAATAAGTTAATTAAGAAAAGAAAATTTAAAAACATATTATTTTTTTGTTTTTATCATAAAATTTTTGGGGAAAGGTGTTTGCAACGTAAGAAAATCATATCAACTTTGTGCGTGAACTGTTTGTTTCTGCAGCGTGGTTTGTTTTGCTTTTAATTAAAAAAAATTATTGTTTGGAGTTATTTAAATATCCAAATATATACATAAATATATATTTGGATATATACAATATATACAATAAATATATATTTCTTAATATAAATATATTGGTTAATTATGGCTATAACTATGAATCAGGTAAAAAAGAAACGATTCAAAAAGTGTTTAAAGACTTTAAGAACGAAATAGACGGAATAATGAGACAACAAGAAAAAAGCGTGTTAAAAATTTTAAGCGCCAACACAAAAATAATAGATTCAATGATTATGCAAAACAAATAAAATTATTAGAAAAAGAAGTAGAAGAAATCAAACGAAGTCTAAATTTTCACGAACGTCTTTTTGAAGAAAAAATAAAAACCCTATTTATCAGGAAAAAAACAACAAATATCTGGCATCGATAAGCGAAATCATAATTCAGACTATGTTAAAATAAAAAAAGTTAACTAAGAGAGTTGGTGGATAGATCAAGCAGAAACAATTTTAAGGTCGACGGGTTAAAAGAAAATGAAGGTGAAACGTGGAGTGACAGCGAATTAAAAGTCAGTAAAGTTTTTGAAGAGCATTTAGGGCTAAAAAATATTAGGATTGAAAAAGCTCATAGAACTAGTCAGAGAGATTTGAGCAAAGAAGAAGAATTGTATTAAAACTATAAGACTATAAAGATAAAGTTGAAACTCTTAAAAAAACATCTGTTTTAAAAGGTAAAGAAATATATATATATATATATATATATATATATATATATATATATATATATATATATATATATTAATAAACATTTTTGTGCAGAAATTGTCGCAATTAGAAAAGCTCTGCGGGATCAGATGGTAGTTGAACGAGCGGCTGGAAAATATGCATATATCTCTTATGATAAGTTTGGATTGGGTAACAAAAAAAGTAAAATATTATTTTCATAAAACATTTGTATATACTACAAGCTTATTTTACTTTTTATATATTATTTATTTTTATGTGATGATAACTACTTTGATAGAGAAAATTTAGAAAGCGAGTATTATTTAATTTCTGAATCTACTAAGGGTAGAAACTTAAGTCAAGTTCGACTTTGAACTTTACTTTGTAACCAATAGCGGCAGAGTATTTTTTGAGGGGAATGTAAAATTCAAGTCGAGCTTGACTCAAGTTCGCTTCTTGCATTCCACCCTTAATATCTGTAAGAAAAAAATTATTATTATTCTAATTCAAATGTAAACAGTCGAAGTATTAACAAAAATTTTGAAAATCTCAAACATTTATTGCATCAACTGAACCAAAAATAGTTTGTATGACGGAAACTTAGCTTAAAAATAACGAAAAAAACTCAAAGTAGTTAGGTATCAGTTCACCAACCGCGTCTAAACAACGCGTGGTGCAAGTATTTTTGTCCACACATCAATTAACTTCATTTTGCGTAATGACCTCAGTGTTAATGAAACAGATTGTAAGTCGCTGTGTATATAAATTATAAACAAAACCACCAAAAATATTGTAATTAATTCTATTTATAGACAACCAGCTGGTAACTTAAGAAAATTAAAAATTTTTTAAATAGTTTTTTACCCAAAACTAGTACAACACGGAAACACGTTTACTTAGCTGGAGATCTTAACTTAAATTTACTAAGTTATGCTTTGAATAAAAATGTTTAATAGTTTTTAGATACTCTAATCGAATATAACCTCCCCTACGAGCATGTGTTTTTCAAATTTACGTTCTAAACGTTCTCTACGTAAGAATGTTTAGAAGACGTTTAAAAGACATTTAAAAGACAATTAGAACGTAACTTCTAAAAACAAATGCCCGGTATGTCATACCTACATTAAATAAGTCTACAAGAATAACAAAGACCTCATCGTCATTACTTGATAATATAATTACAAACAATTTTCAAAACTCCGGTTTAGGAACGGGCATAATCAAAACTGATTTAACAGATCACTTTCCAATCTGTCTAATTACCGATAACATAACTCTAAATAATCCCCCCTCGAACTCTACAATTTTAACGCAACAGATCAATGAAAACTCCCTATTGTTTTTTCGAACTCTTTTATCAGAAAATACCAATTTAAATCTTGTTTTACAATCTCATGAAGTCAATCATGCAAACAAACTATTTCTATCGCAATTCTGTAAACATTATATGACAAAACATTTCCTGTCAAAAAAATAATTATAAAATCTAAGTCTCTTTTAAACCCTGGATAACCAAGGGACTTATGAAATCACCAAAGAAATAAAAAAAACTTAATGAAAAATTTTAAAGGCATAAAACATATCAAAATGAAATGAAATACAAAAACTATAAAAATTTATTTAATAAAACAAAAATACACTCGAAAAAAATTTATTATGCAAAATTATTGGAAAAAACCAACAGCGACACTACAAAATTAAATACAATAAAAAAAAAAAAAACGTGACAATTAAACAAATAATTGGTAAAAAAAAAATAAGATCGTTATATAAAAATAAAAATATTTCTTTTAAGTCCCAAAAAACTGGAAATTGACTAATTTCTAGGGGAGTAAGGTTCAAAAAAGACTTAGCAATCAATAAATATTCATTCAATTATCAAGATTCTACTTCCTTCTCTACATATAAATGAATTGAACAATTAGGAAAAATTTGGAGATCTAGGCATTTTTTAATGTTGAGATATGGTGTTTTGAGTTCATAAATTATTTTAAAGTCTTTATTTTTAGATAAAAGGCAAATAAGTAAAAAAAAATTTTAAAATATCTTTTTTTGAAGATATATATGGATAACTGTTCTTGATCTTTATCAATCCAACCTTTCCTAATTCCTCTCAACTCTTTTCTTCTTTTTTTTTTTTGTGGTTGTACTTTTTTCACTATATTCCCTAAGCGCCTTTGGTCTTTTTTTACTGAACTGGTTATCGTATTTTTTTCAAAGTCTACATTTAAATGTTTAAATACACAATAAATAACAAATGGAACTTCATTGAAAGAAAGAACCGCTGAGTTTACTCCTACTTCAAGAACATCTGTCTTTACATAAATATTTTAAGGACATCGGGACCACATAATATTATTTAGTCCTTCATTACAATTTTGAGTTAACCCATGAAGACATTTTTTCAATAAATTGTTGTTACTTAATTCATCAAAATCTTTCTTAATAATTTCATAAATCCATAAAGGCAAGTTTAATTTAGGAGAATAGTTTTCATTTGCATCTGCATTTTTACTTTTTTTGAAGTATTATTACCATAATTTATGAGTTATGTTATTATAGAGTTTTTGTTTTATTATTGTTTACTTTACTTAGTTTTATTACAGTTTTATTACTGAGTACAAATTGAGTTATGTTATATTGTTACCTTGAGTTGAGTTTAAGGTGGCACACCACTGAAAGTAAGCAAGTTTTTTGAAAAATATCAATTTTTAGATTTTTTGGTATTTTGATTCTATAATCATTCAATAAGCATATGAAGAAAAAATTAGTCTTAAAAATGATATAAAAGTTGATTTATTATCATTTTAGTACATGACAAAAATAAATTACTTAACAGCATCTTTTTATGAATTCAAAACAGTAAAATACCATCACAAACTTGATTTTAATGTGTTATATGCAGACTCTTTTTAGTTTTCCGTTTTAAAAGTCATATTTCAACACTTAATTTAAGAACTTTTGTTTTGGTCTGTTTGAGTGTTAGTCTTTTATACTGTAACTTTTTTCTCATTTTGTACTAAATAATTTTAAAAGTGGTTTCAATTTAGTTCGAATAAAGTTATTTTTAAATGAATAAACAAGAAAATGAAAGTAAACGAAATTTACCAAGAAGGATTACGACGAAAATGGAATGGTGTTGTTAGAAATAAAAAATCATCTTTGTCATCTCATCATCGTCCACAACTCAAGCAGCTTGTAGCTGTTCTAGTGAAAGGAAAATCAAACTCAACTATTCGAATACATTTGATTCTGAAAAATATAATTATATAATTACATTAGCTTTGTCAAGTAAAGTTGACAAAACCAGAATTCGGCATATGAAATCAAAGTCAATAGATAAAAGTAAAATGCAAAGAAAAAAATTAAGAGCAGTTAAATAAGGACAAACAGCAAGTAAAAGAAACAACTGATAGTTATATCCTGGTGGATTTCGATTAATTTTTTGTTCTTATTATATATTTTTTTCTTATTTTTGCATATATATATATATATATATATATATATATATATATATATATTTTTAAACTTTGAAACACATTTTCTCATTAACGAAACAGAATCACATAATAAAATTTTCAGGATTTGTTTATCATAATGTAATACTTCATTTAACCCTTAGAATTTGCATAAAAATATATAGAAAGTAAAATATTCATGTTTTACACGTGAATATTTTACTTTCTTTCGCAACAAATCCCACGGTCAAGCAGGGTGAAATATGATTAGAAAGCTATGTTCAAAATTTTAGTTTCAGTTGTTGAGGCGAAATCAATTTATTAGGTTTTGAAGATTTACTAAAAGCATGTGTTTTACAATAGATTTTCGGCCTATTTCGGATAATAAAATTAAAAAAAAAAAATTTAGCTGTTTTTTATTTTATTTTAATATAAAATTTTGTTCTCAAAAAAAAAAAAAAAAAAAAATTCAAAATTTTGATTATTTCAAAAAAAACTTGTGTTCAGTTGTGTGCCACCTCAAGTATTCTTATAACTACCTATTGCATATTTAATTTATTAACCTAAAAAAAAAATATTTCAGGTAAACATTTTATCAAAACAACTTGTGTTAGTATAATGGCTTTGTCACAAGAAGTAAGTAATCAAATGATTGTGAAATGATTCAATTTCAATAAGAAAAACGGTCATTTTTAAAACTGAACATAGTTAGCCTCTAAACTAAATCTTATATTATCGCAGAACACGAAAACATATTAAAACAGTGGTTAAACAAAGGTTTTCACATAACTTTTTTCCGTTGCTATGGGTGTTGCTAAGGAAACTACTTCATATTATACCTGACAAAATGCAAAATAGTAGCTTATAAAATTAAAATTTTTAAAAAATAGTTATACCATCATTTTTGGCAATGTTTAAATTCTCAGAAATCATATTTTTCAATTTTTTAATTTTTTTTTTTTTTTTTTTTTTTTTTTTTTTTTTTTTGTTCTTTTATCTTTATAATGTTGTGATTCTACATGATTGGTACAAAGTTATAATGTTTTTAAAATATATAATACTAAAAATATATCACAATTTTATAGAATACAAAAAATATGATTATAGGGTTCATTAATATTAAAAGAACGCGGGAAACTTGCAGAAGACCAGATGGTCTTGTCATCAAGAAACCGCTTGTACTTGTAATATTTTTTGTATTTTCGTTTTACAATGTATCAAGTTTCACAAAATACTTCATTTTATATTAGGTTCACATATAATAAAATGTAGAAATAAAAAATTGGTAAATACTGTTTGTAGTACACATAATATACATAAATATATTATTAAGCATAAATATAATTATTATTGACTTATATTGATTTTTTATATTAACCCTTTACAGGTCAGGGTTGCCGTATGGCAACAAATAGTTTAATGTTACTTAAAACGTATAAATTTTTATATGGCCCGGATTTTCTTGGTTTAATACGGTATTTAGACTATGCTAATGCAAATAGTAAACAAAGATTGCAGTTTAGCGGCATTTTTGTATGAGAATCATTGCCTTGATTGTTACTACATTTTTTGGAATAAAATATGTATCAGTTTCAGGCCATCAAGATGTGTCAAAACACTTTGTTTATTATTATATTTGTAGTGAATGTTAATTACCAGAAGTTGTTCTGTATTTTTACATCATTTGTTTTGTATAAGCTTTGACTGCATGATTTATTACTTCATAACAAATATTTTGTTGCCATACGGCAACTGTGTCCTTTAATGGACATATTTTGAATAAAGTCTTATTTTAGATGTCTCGCTACTTTATATCTCCCAAGTAGATATTAAAATTTTTATTTCTTATGTTTCCAAAGTTTTCTTTTATAAGTGAAGTTTTATATATATATATATATATATATATATATATATATATATATATATATATATATATATATATATATATATATATATATATATATATATATATATATATATATATATAAATATATATATATATATATATATATATATATATATATATATATATATATATATATGTATATGTGTACACATACATACATATATATATATATATATATATATATATATATATATATATATATATATATATATATATATATATATATATATATATATATATATATATATATATATATATATGTATATATATATATGTATATATATATATATATATATATATATATATATATATATATATATATATATATATATATATATATATATATATATATATGTTTATATATACATATATGTAGTGCGAGTAGATAATTTAATATTTTTAGAGTATAAATAATTTAAAAAGAAAAAGAAATTAACCACTAAAATTGTTATGATGGAAAGACAACGCTATCAAAAAACACGATACACAATTCAGGATGTTGTAAACTTTCTGAATCCTTGGATGATGAAAATGAAGTTGGCCAACCTAAAATTGATTGTGATGAAGAAGAAGAGATAACTGATAACGAAGAAATCTGTGGAGGTGAAGATCAAAATATATCAAATTTTGAATCAGTAAGAAAAAGAAAAAAACCACACGAGTTTCGGTGGCGATCTACTGAACCGCAATTAATCGATTCGGAATTTATGGGAGAAAATTTCACATTAGCCCCGGATAATTTTAATGAACTTACACCTCTTGATTATTATTTTTTAAACCAGTTCTAGACAAAAGAAATAACAGAACTGATTGTAGAACAAACAAATCTTTATAGTACCCAACTTTCCGGTAAGTCAATAATCACAAATGTTAATGAAATGGATCAGTTTATGGGAATGCAAATGTTAATGGGTATTTTAAAGCTGCCAAGCTACCCTATGTACTGGATGAATGAAATCAGAATTAATACAATTGCTGATGTTATGCCAATTAATAGGTATAAAGCGTTAAGAAGATATATTCATGTAGTTGACAATTCAAAAAAAGATGAAGCAGATAATAAAAATGATAAACTTTTCAAAATTAGACCTATATTAGAGATGGTGCGGGATAATTGTCACAAAATAGAACCAGAACCAGTGCATTCAATCGATGAGCAAATAATACCTGCGAAAACAAAACATAGTGGTATTCGCCAATATAATCCGAAAAAGCCTCACAAATGGGGTTTAAAATGTTTGTTCGATCTGGCTCAAGTGGAATCATCTATGATTTTTTTTTGTATTGTGGCGCAAAAAGCAGCGGAAGAGAAGATTGTTCTGCAGAGAATGTTGTTTTAAGATTGACTGAACGAATACCAAAAAATTTAAACTTTAAGTTGTGTCTTGACAACTGGTTCTGTACTCTTTCTCTTTGTCTCAAACTAAAAGAAATAGGCATACTGACAACAGCAACTATTCGTACAAATCGAATAGCAAAGTGTCCACTGCTTTCTGAGAAAGATTTAAAAAAACAAGGTCGGGGGTCTTTTTCATATAAGGTTGATGCAAACTCTGGTCTGTTGCTTCTAAGATGGTTTGATAACAAATGTGTTCATATGACCTCAACATATTGTTCAGCTAATACATCTGGTAATGTTAAACGATGGGATCAAAAAAATAGGAAACATATTCAAGTACCTTGCCCGCAAGTAGTAAAAGAATACAATACTGGAATGGGTGGTGTAGACTTGTCTGACATGCTTATTAGCTTATATCGAATACCCATGAAAACAAAAAGATGGTACTTACGTGTGCTTGTTCATTGCATGGATATATGTAAGATAAATGCTTGGCTGCTGTATAGAAGACATGGTAACCAGTTGAATATTTCTCAGCGTAGCCAACTTAACCTCCTTCAATTTAGCAGTCAAATTGCTAACGCTATAATAATGAAAAGTAAACGAGTTGACAGACCTATTGGCCGACCGATAAAAAAATTATCAACTAATTCTGATTTAACCGAAACACGAGGTCGCAAAGTTCAGGTACCAACACCCCAAAATGATATACGATATGATGAGTTTGGACACTGGCCAAATCCTTAAATTAACAAAAACAAATGTCGATTGTGCAAGAAAACCGTTCGTATGTCTTGCCTAAAATGCAAAGTTTTTTTATGTTTAAGCAATGAAAGAAATTGTTTTTATCAGTTTCATAGAAAGTAGGAACTTTTGAAGAAAACTAATTATGACTTATTTTTTCAAGAAGACTGATTTTTATTGTTTACTAACTAAAAGTAATAATTTGATTTTATACCCTAACCGGTCAAAGTTGCCATATGGCAACAAAAAATATCTCAAAAACTGCTTATGTCAGCAAAAAAAAAATTATTGATTATTACTCCATACACCAAATAGATCCTTTAAAATAAAAATAAAATTTTTTTTACCATTTTTTCTAATGCTGACCTGTAAAGGGTTAATATATATTATTGAAGTTTTTTGGATTTTGTTTTCAATTATAATTTTGGTTTTACTTTCAGTTTTAGTTTAGTGAAAGTTTAAATTTTTTTTTTTTTTTTTTTTTTTTTTTTTCAACATCTTCACTTCCAACAAGGCTGCAAGCAACCACTATAAGAGTTGGAAGTTACTGGAAGAGAAAAGACTAAATCTGTAAAGCAAGATAGCGATTGACTGATGACTTAAATGATTGCAAATTATATGAATCAGGGAAGCAAGATGACGGAAGCGAATTCCAAAGAACTGATGTTCGAGGAAAAAAACTAGAAGAATAAGAGTTTTTGAAGCACTTAGGAACAGTCACAGAAAAAGGATGAGACTTAATTGAATGACGAGTAACACGAGAATGAATTTTAGTAGAAGGCACAAGAGACGCTAGCTCTTTAGAGCAGTGCCCGTTATAGTATTTGTAGAAAAGAGAAAGAGAAGCAACATCACGACAATGTAACAAAGGTTGGAGATTGGCTGCCAGAGCAGGTCCAACTATGTTTACAATGCGTTTTTGTACCTTGTCTAAAAGAGAAAGGGCATCATTAGAAGATCCGCCCCAGATGTGGCAACAGTATTCCATACAGGGACGGAATTGAGATTTATAGAGATAGAGAATAGAATCTGGAGTAAGAAAGTGTCGAGCTCGATAAAGAGATGCAACCTTAGCAGATGCTAATTTTGCAATGGATTTGATATACGGTTTAAAAGAAAGATCAGAAGTAAGAGTTAATCCTAGAAGATGAATGGTAGATGACTCATCTAGTACATTACCATTCATAAATGTAGGAAGATCTAAATTATTACGATAACGATTGGCCGAATAAAATTGAGTTTTATCTGAATTAAAGTTCACCAGCCACTGTGAGCCCCATGCTGTAGCAGAAGTGAGATCCTTTTCAAGCTCAGATACCCCCTCCAGGCAATCAGAGAGTGTAGGCTTCTTATCATGACAAGAGTAAATGGTAGTGTCGTCAGCGAATAATGCCACCTTAAATGTGAGAATATTTGGGAGATCGTTAATGTAAATTAAAAAGATTATAGGGCCAAGGATTGAACCTTGAGGAACCCCTGAAGTTACAGGATATAAAGAAGAGTGTTGTCCATCGAGGACAACTTTTATACTACGATTGGAAAGAAAGGACTCGATAATCTTAAAGATGTTACCAGATACACCATAAGAAGAAAGCTTCTTGAGAAGACCAGCATGCCAAACTTTATCAAAAGCTTTAGAAATGTCAAGTGCGATAGCCTTAACCTCTCCACCTCTATCTAATGCACGGTAAAACCTATCGGTTACTACTGTTAGCAAATCAGCTGTAGAACGAGAAGATCGAAATCCATATTGATGATCAGAAAGTAAGTTATTTGATTCAAGATGAGAGATTAAGTGTTTGTTGATTAAAGATTCAAAAACCTTGCTTATGACAGGAAGAAGACTAATGGGACGGTAGTTAGATGAATCAGATCGATCTCCGGAATTTTTGAAAATAGGGATAACAAATGCTGCTTTCCAGCATGATGGAAAACAGGACTCTGATAAGCACTTGTTAAATAGTTTTGAAAGTATGGATGAGAGCTCCGGAGAACACTTCTGCAAGACTACAACAGGAATGTTGTCAGGACCACAAACTGTTGAAGAGTCTAAGCAGGAAATTACTTTTGATACAGAAGCTGAAGTGATGCGAATGTCAAGCAAGGGATCAACCTGTTTGACGGCTATGTCAGGTAGAACGCAACTAGTGGAATCGAGAGATGATATTGATGAAAAGTTCTTAGCAAACCATTCAGCTTTGTCTTTAGGTGAGGTGACAAAGTCTGAACCATACAAGAGAGAAGGAATAACAGATTTGCCCTTATTATTGATACTGTTAAAGATTCTCCAGAAGTCTCGAGAGCCTAATTTTTGTGATGAGATACGAGATTATATGACCTGAGAATAGCGAGCTTTGGCGTCAGACAAAACCTTTTTACAATGGTTTCTGGCGATAGTGAACAGATGTCTGTTTTCTGGAGAATTGTTATTAATTAAAAATAATTAAAAGAATTGTTATTAATTAAAAATAATTAAAAATAATTGCTGATATTTAAAACAAACGTTTTTAGTAAGATTTTCAAACAATTTATGTTATCTAATTTTGTAATAATGGCATTTTTGGATATCAGTTTATTATAAAGATAGGGACCGCGAAACGAAATTGTGAAACGCGACAGTTTTGTTTTTCTGAATGGTACATTAAAGTTTCCTATTTCTCTAGTGTCATATCTGTTTTTATTGCTTTTAAAAAATTCATTTAAGAAATGTGGTGGGACAAGCCCGAGTTTAAATTTTAGCATGAAGAGTAAGTTTTGGTAAATGTTAATTCTATAGACGTTTAGTGCATTTAGGAGTTTAAACAAAGGTTCAGCATGAGTGAGTTTATCTTTTTTATAGACAATTCTAATGGCATGTTTTTGATGTTGATAAAGTGATTTTAAATTAGATTTATGGGTACTGGCCCATGCTATATTACCATATGTATAATAGGTATGTATAAATGAAAAATAAAGATGTTTTAGATTTTCTTGGGATAACATTGGCCTAGCATTGTATAGCACGCCAATGTTTTTGGTTATTTTAGTATTTAAATAGTCAATATGGGCTTTCCATGAAATATTTTGATCAATAAGTAAACCTAGGAATTTAGTTGTTGTGGTTCTTTAGATATTTTTGTTTTTTATTCTTATTTTACACCTTTTATTTCTTGAGAAGCCAATCGAGGAATGATTTTTTGAATTAAATTCGATTTTTTAAATTAAATTGATGAAAAAAAAAAGAATTTTTTTTTCATCAATTATTTATTGATGAAAAAAAAATTCATTTCCCAATTTAATTCAAAAAAATTTCCTAATTTAATTCAAAAAATTATTACTCGATTGGCAGGGAAATGATTGATGATAAAAAAAAAAATAGCTGAAAAACTAAACTCATTTTTTCTCGAGGTTGGACCGAACTCGGCGATTAAATTTCCGCCTAGTACCACAAATTTTGAATTTTATATTAAATCATGTAACTCTATTAAAACTAATTCTTTCCAAGCCCAATACCGTGGACCGTTTCTATGGTAACATTTTTCGAAATTTATTTCAAAAAATAATTGTAATTTAAATTTAATATTTTTTAAGTAGTTTGAATCCATAAAAACTTTTTGTCAAAAACTTTAATACTTTTAAATTTTTAAATATATTGCGTTACATTTCATTTTTTAGTTTTCATTTTTATATATTTTTCATTTTCACTATTTCTAATTTTATTATATATTTTATTATTGCAAAACTGACAATTTTTCAATGTTAATGGGGCTCGATTATAAGACAGTTTCTGTCTTCTGCTTGTTCCAGCTCTTTATTTATTAACACAATTTATTTTGTTGTAAATTTTAATATACGGCAAAACATATGACAAAAATAAAAGTAGATGCTAACTACACCAAAAAATTTTTTGAATCAACTGGTTTATGAAAAAATTATAAGTTAAGATTAGAAGCAGTTTTAATAATCTTATAACCAGTCTCAATAACCTTAAAACAAGTCAAAAAATGTACTTGAGTGAGTTCAAATGTCTGTTGAAAAATTTAAGATAAAATGTTTTTCAAAATGATTTATTTTGTTAAAGGGTTAGGGTTAGATGTTAAAAATTGAAATTTACAAAATATTTGAATGGTTAGCTTTCAGTGTGATCTCTCTCTCTTTTTAAAAAACTTTTAAACTTTCTATGGATACTGAAACAAGCTTTAAGTAATACATTTGCTTATCGTTGATATAGCAACACTGGTAACTTAGTGATTTTTTTGTTGAGCGGTTAGCACTCCTTTGTCCATCCTAATCCAAAACACAAATATTTCAATGTACTGTTTTAGACAGTGTTAAATTTTTCAATTTAACAAATTTATTTTCTAACCTCCTAAGTTACTTGAAACTCTATTTAAAAAAGTAAAATCTTTGATTTTAAAATATATTCTCAAACATAGCGGGGCCAGAGGTTTTTGTCCTCCTTAACCACATCTTTTCCTAATCCAGTAATGATAATGAGAAGTTTATAAACAAAACGTATAAGAATTTTTTTAGTTAGCCCTCTCCTCACGCTCATATATAAATCAAATTTTTAAAAATTTAAAACTTAAAATATTTTAACTTACCAATATTATTTTAATGGAATCTTTTCAAAAATTATTTTTCTTCTTTTTTTACCTTTTTTTTTTTTTGTTACTACTTTTATTTTACTTTTTCTTCTTCGTGTTATGACAGTTGCGTAGTTGCATTTTTTTTTATTTTTTAGTTTATATTATTTTTTTATTTATATTTTTTCTATTTCAAAAAATGTTAGTTTTTTCAAAAACTAAATTTCAAGTTTTCAAAACTTAAATCCCGAAGAAATAAATTCTAACTTTGAGTATGGCGTGATCTTTGTTACTGCGTTCTTCATTTATCAAATGTTTATATTTAGTTAAGTTTTTAATTAAAAATATTTTTAACTAAAGATATTTTTAGTTAAAAATATTTTTAATTAAAAATATTTTTAATTAAAATTATTTTTAACTAAAAATATTTTTAACTGAAAATATTTTCAACTAAAAATATTTTTAACTAAAAATATTTTTAGTTAAAAATATTTTTGACCTATTTGTTTTTTGTCCCTAAGACCTAGAAAAAAAGCCTTCGTATAACACCATCCGTTATACGTAGCTTTGTGTAAGTTAACATATCTTTTGATTATAAATGGTCTTTGTTTTTAAGTTTGAAACTGATTTGTTAAGTGTCACATTTATATCAATTTTTCATCCTGTGGGATCAACATTTAAAAACTTCAAACGAATGTTATATTAGCTTGAGCTTTCTCTTCAAAAAGATCACCTCAAATTTAAGTTTTTTTTTTGTGTTATTTTATGATATCATATTAACCATAAATTTATTAACTTATTTTGTATTTTTGACTTGTTTTATTTAGCTAATCAAAAAGTAGAAATTATAAGCAAGAAGACCTAGGTTGAAGGGCTAGTAAGCAGAAATGGTTAATTTAGAAATCCGGTGTGAAACTTGTGTACGAATGTAAAAAGTTACAAATGTTTTACGCAGTTACTTCTGTTCTTAAGAAAACTTTTATTGTCAAAACATTAGGAGCGACATAATTGGGCAGCTGTGGCGCAGTGGTTAGAGCACTTGCTTAAAATTCGAGAAAACAAAAAAAGTCAAAACAGACGCAGTGAAAAAAAATCTCTATCGTGATCCAGAAGCAGTGAAAAAATAGTCTCTACCGTGATGCAGAAGCAATGAAAAAAAAAAGTTTCTACACAGATGCGTAAGCAGATAATGCTGACGCTAAATCAATGCGTTCAAATAAAATTAAAATGCAAAACAGACGCAGTGAATAAAAATCTCTATCGTGATCCAGAAGCAGTGAAAAAATAGTCTCTACCGTGATGCAGAAGCAATGAAAAAAAAAAGTTTCTACACAGTTGCGTAAGCAGATAATGCTGACGCTAAATCAATGCGTTCAAATAAAATTAAAATGCAAACATTTCCTCTAATTATTGAAAAGCACTTATCATTGTTGAGCCATAGAGTTTCTGCATACAATGTTATTAATAACTTATTTATTTATTTTTTTTTCTATTGGTTGAGACAACATAAGAAAAAAACTTTTTAACTTGATAAAGGTTCTGTAGTTAAAAAATTTGTAAAAAATCTTGAAAAGTTAATGTCATTTAAGGTTTTAGAGAACAAATCAACGGTCGAACTCATAAAAGCTACAAAAAATACTAAAAAAAAACTATTATCTACATAGTTTACCAAAAATTGTTTATCTATATATTAGTATTTTTATAAACGAGCAGCTTTTCGTTTAAACTTTTTTTTATAAACTGATAATATGTTTTACTTTTATTTATTTAGTTGTTTTTTTTTTTATATATATTATTTTGCGATTTAAAATAAAGTTTGAAATAATTTTACAACAATAAAATAAAACGAATGAAAGTTTCGAATGAAGCTGGCAGAAGACAAGATTTTACCACCCAGCCCCATTAAATTAACTGAAAGGTTCAGTTGATAAAAAAAAAAGCAGAAAGATAAAAATTAACGAGAAATATGTCTCAATAATGAATTTACTGTTTGGTAAAAATATATTTTTTTATTTTTTATTGTTTATTTATTTTTTCAATATTATCATGATTATTTTAATTGTTTATAATATTTGTTTTTAATTTTTATAAGCAACCACTTTTTGAGTTGGAAGTTACTGGAAGAGAAAATATGAAGTTTATAGAGCAAGATATTGACAGACGGCTTAAAAGATTTCAAATTATATGAATTAGGAAAGCAAGATGAAGGAAGCGAATTCCAAAAAGCTGATGTTCGAGGAAAAGAACTAGACGAATAAGAGTTTTTGGAGCACTTAGAAACAGTCACAGAAAAAGGATGAGGCTTAATTAAATAACGAGTAACAAGAGAATGAATTTTAGTAGATCGCACAAGAGACTATAGCTCTTTAGAGCAGTGCCTATTATAGTAATTGTAAAAAAGAGAAAGTGAAGCAACGTTACGACAATGAGATAATTATTGGAGATTGGCTGCAAGAGCAGATCCGCAATGCGTTTTTGTACCTTGCCTAAAAGAGAAAGGGCATTATTAAAAAAACTTTCCCTGTAATGACAACTATTGTTTCCATACAAGATTCCATACAAGACGGGCTTGATATTATTAGTGATAAAAAATAGAATCCGGAGTAAGAAAGTGTCGAGCTCTGTAAAGAGATGCAACTTTAGCAGATGCTAATTTTGCAACGGATTTGATATACGGTTTCCAAGAAAGATCGGAAGTAAGACTTAATCCTAGAAGCTGAAGGGTTAATGACTCATTGAGTTCATTACCGTTCATAAATATAGAAAGATCTAAATTATTTCAATAACAATTGGCTGAGGAAAAATTGAGTTTTATCTGAATTAAAGTTCACCAGCCACTGTGAGCCCCATGCTGTAGCAGAAGTGAGATCCTTTTCAAGCTCAAATACCCCCTCCAAGCAATCAGAGAGTGTTAGCTTCTTATTATGACAAGAATAAATAGTAGTGTTGTCAGCGAACAATGCCACCTTAGATGTCAAAATATCTGGAAGATCGGTAATGTAAACTAAAAGGAATATAGGGCCAAGCATTGAACCTTGAGGAACCCCTAAAGTTACAGGATATGAAAAAGAGTGCTGTCGAGAACATCAAAGAAAAATTTTATACTACGATTGGAAAGAAAGGACTCAATAATTTTAAAGATGTTACCAGATACACCGGAAGAAGAAAGCTTATGGAGAAGACCACCATGTCAAACTTTATCAAAAGGTTTAGAAATGTCAAGAGCACAAATAAGCACTTGTTAAATAGTTTTGAAAGCATCGATGACAGCTCTGGAAAACACTTATGCAAAACTATAACAGGTATGTTTTCTGGACCACAAGATGTTGAAAAGTCTGAGCAGGAAATATCTTTTGATACAGAAGCTGGATTGATACGAATGTCAAGCAATGGACATACCTGTTTGACATCTATATCAGTCAGAACCCAAATACTGGAATCAAGAGATGATACTGACGAAAGGTTTTTGGTAAACAATCCGGCTTTGCTTTAGGTGAGGTGATAATGACTGAAAAATACCAGAGAGGTGGATTACAAATTTGCCATTATTATTAATACTATTAAAGACTCTCCGGAAGTTACGAGAGCCTAATTTTAATGATGAAATACAAGATTTCATGACCTGAGAATAGCGAGCTTTGGCATTAGATAAAACCTTTTGACAATGGTTTTCAACAATAATAAACAAATGTCTGTTTTCTGGAGAGTTGTTTTTCTGATAGAATGGAAGTAACAGTTTCGATTGGAAATTGCAGCAGCACAATGTGAGGAAAACCATAAAGAAGAGTAGAGCTTGATCTGGATTTATTGAGAGGGAATAAAAAATTCAATGCCAGCCTGAAACCATAAAGTTATGTAAGAAACACATTTTTCAGCAGGAAGACAAAAGATTTCTACCCAAGGGCTATCACGAAGAAAAGCACGGAAAGAATCCTGGACTAGAAACAAGAAAGAGTCTAGGACTAGAAACATAACTCGAGTAGAAAAGGTAACGGACTCGGGTTGTCTGGAAAACGAATTGGAAAATTGACTATTTGAGTTTGGGATTAAAGGCAAAAGTTGAGCGTCTTAACGCTAACAGTTTCACTGAGACTAGAGCCAAGCCATTCAGTGTGATGGGCATTAAAGTCACCGGCGACAACAATATTGGCTGATGGATAAAGAGAGAGGGCTTGATCAATATGATCAGAAATAACATCAAGAAGAGTTCAATTTTGAGATGAAGGAGAGCGAACCAAGAGAAATGCGATAGAATAAAGTGTTGCCAACCAAAAGCACACAAAAGAGTAGTCTATGGATTCAAACCTAGTTTCCCGACATATGGGTGAATTCTTAAGAATGTAAATGCCCAGGCAAAGCATGTGACTGTTATAGCCTTTACGAATTAAAGGAAGATTAACATCAACACTAAGATCACAAGATGAGACAGCTAAACTCAAATTAGTCTCACAAAGAGCAAGTAGGTCTGGCGAACTTTGCAAGAGTTCACAATTCAACAGAAAAAACGCTACTTTTTTTTTGTGTTTTTCCCTTGAATATTCAATATAGTTTATACAATAAGATAGTTAAGATAAAAATTGTTATACAATAAAAAGATTCTCAGAAGACCTTCAGGTCTTTTCATTCAGGACAATATTATCAATATTGTCATTTAAGGTTTTTGACGTAGGAGTTATTCTTGTTGGTTTGTTAATTATGGGAAAAGCACCGAGTTCAAATAACTTATTGTAAAACCTTTTAACGCCATAATTAGTGTGGTATTGGTAACTATCTAAATTATTGTCACCTATTAAGTAGTATAATTTATTTTCATGAATGCTTTTTTTAAAATGTCATTTAAAAATTTGTTAAAATTTTCTAATCTGCCCGAAGGTGGGCGATAATAAAAACTTATAATTAAATTTTTTTTTGTTTGTATTTCAACTGTTAAGACCTAATTATCGTCATCAGAATTGCTCATGCCAGGCCTGATAATATACTGCAAACATTCTCTAATATATAATATTAAACCACCGCTTCGCTTTCTATTTTTCTATCTAAGGAAATTATATTGAAACCTGGTAAAAAGAGTTATTAGAGTTACACCAGGTTTCAGACATGCAAAATTATACTAAAATTTCAGACATGCAAATTATACTAAAAATATTAAGAGATTTTTTTCATGTTTAAGTAGAAATTTTTCAAAATTTTTTGATATGCTTCTTAAGTTAATATGAAAATT